TCCTTTTTGGCTTTCTTTAGTATGAATTAACACAGCTGAGAATCTGTTCTACCCTCTTCAGGTTTTAAGATGGTCAACCATATATATTACCTAGTTTGCTGTCTCAATTTAAACTAACAAAACCAACATTCCCATTAATTTTTCCTGTTTTAATTTTTTTTAAGTCATAGAGAGCCATCGTTTTATTTCAAATCCACAAGCCAGAAGTCTAATTCAGTCTCTTTTTTGATTAATCAATCATCCATCCACCTATTTAGCATCTCCTTGACATAAATTAACAAAGTGTATGCACATACAGTTGTACATTGGTTTAAACACACACACACACACCATTCTGCCTTTACTAATTTTAAATTAACAAGTATGATCATTCTGCCTTTCTTTGGTTTGGCTTATAGAGCCAAATAATCCATGTAACTGTCAGTAAACTATATGTTTCTTTCTGTCCAACCACATTCAGAGAGAGAAGGCATATTTTTTCCATTCATCTGCACTTTGGTTTAATTTAGTAATCTTTGAGCTTAATCCATCTTTTCCTTAATTTAAATGAGAACCTTGTATCTCATTCTGTTTTTCTTAAATACCCTGTAGTTCCCTTCTATAAAAAGCACCATGCACACCTGTCATAAATATAAAGGGAAGGGTAAACACCTTTAAAATCCCACCTGGCCAGAGGAAAAACCCTTTCACCTGTAAAGGGTTAAGAAGCTAGGATAACCTCACTGGCACCTGACCACAATGACCAATGAGGAGACAAGATACTTTCAAAAGCTGGAGGCAGGGAGAAACAAAGGCTCTCTGACTGTGTGATGCATTTGCCGGAAACAGAACAGGAATGGAGTCTTAGAACTTAGTAAGTAATCTAGCTAGATATGCATTAGATTCTGATTTCTTTAAATGGCTGAGAAAATAAGCTGTGCTGAATGGAATGTAGATTCCTGTTTTTGTGTCTTTTTGTAACTTAAGGTTTTGCCTAGAGGGATTCTCTATGTTTTGAATCTAATTACCCTGTAAGGTATTTACCATCTTGATTTTACAGAGGTGATTCTTTTACTTCTATTAAAATTCTTCTTTTAAGAACCTGATTGCTTTTTCATTGTTCTTAAGATCCAAGGGGTTGGGTCTGTGTTCACCTATATAAATTGGTGAGGATTTTTATCAAGCCTTCCCCAGGAAAGGGGGTGGAGAGTTTGGGGAGGATTTTGGAGGGAAAGACGTTTCCAGGTGGGCTCTTTCCCAGTTATATATCTGTTAGACGCTTGGTGGTGGCAGCAATAAAGTCCAAGGGAAAAAGGAAAATAGTTTGTACCTTGGGGAAGTTTTAACCTAAGCTGGTAAAAATAAGCTTAGGAGGTTTTCATGCAGGTCCCCACATCTGTACCCTAGAGTTCAGAGTGGGGAAGGAACCTTGACAACACCAAAGCAGAATTCAAATTATCCTAAGCCTTCCCCTCTACCCAAAAAAAGCAGTACTTTCCCAAACTACGTCCACAAACAAATACCCATCCTCTCCCACTAGACTATACATATCTTCATAATATTGTTGTCCCTCTTCTGTCTCATTTGCTTTGATCAGTAGTGAAATAGTTAATTTTGACATATAAATGGTCAAAATTAGTCTTCGGAGTCAATGCCTCGATGGGGTGAATGTGGGCTGTTCATAGTACTTCTCAGAGTTATTTCAGACTGTCTGCTGATTGAGGCAGACATCTCTGTTCAGGTTTACACTCTGTAAAAATAACCTTTGGACTGTGAACAACCATAATTTACTTCTTTTAAAATGAAGCTTAGAATTTGGAGCACAAGATAACAATCACCATGAGAGAGTACTGGCTTTTTAGCTACTGCAAGCTGGCCAAATTTGATCCCTAGTTTAAGCAGAAAACAAAAAAAAGACAATAGTAAAAATGAAGGAATCAGGACTTCTCACCTTCTCTGCATTTCTCAGCTTTACAGAGAGTTGTGCGTTTTGAATAGTCTGCTTCCAACAGCTTAGGACTTTCAGCTTACACACCAGCTCATGTAGTCTGGTGTTTTCATCCTGCAAGAACTGCAGCTGCTCTTGCTAAAGACAACATTATCACAGTCACTAAGAAAGACTTCTTACAATGGCACTTTCCCTTAGAGCAACCTGCAATGTTTTTACAATGTTTTCTCTCCAACGGATCTGAACTTCCAAAGCTTCAAACTTTGCAGTTTAAACCAGTGCACTTTTCAAAATGAACTTCAGTTACTGTACGTCTGAGGGAACAGAAGTGAACACTGCCCACAGACAGAAAATGAACAAACAGGTAAACTGTGTAAAAATAAAACACTACTAACTGAGATAAAACACATGGATTTTTCTGTGGATATCCAAATTTACCCAAATGGTGGTTTTGGGTCATATTCATTGGTTCATATTCAGTACCCTGTTTCACCCCACTTACGATTTTCCTGATAAGGATGACCTACCAGCATTATGGCAAAATTAGAAGATATATGAGAAGCTGAACCCTATTTTCCCTGACATTGCCCCAGCTGGGAGGCTTGTTGATGAAACCTGTACTCTTGAGATGGGTCTGGGTGGCCACATTACATTTACATTTCCCATCACATGTTTTTGCACTTGTTAGACCAGGTGGTGTATTTTTATAATTTATCATAGATTTAGATATTTAGACATTAGATTCTGGTCTGACAAAGGAAGACCAAGATGGTCTCATTTGACTTAATTGATGGACTCATCAGCAACTCTATTCTTCCAAGTTTCCCACATGAATTGAACTAGCCTTGGACATAAAAATGATCTAAGTTTGTTTCTTTTCACTGGATTATCTTCTTCATTGGGGAGCTAATGATTTGGCTAAATGCACTATTACTTATTATTCATATTATCACCGTGACCAAAAGCTGGTAGGCACTTCATGTGTAGTTAAATGGAATTTATGGTAGCTTTTCTCAGATGTATAAGATCTCCCCCCCCCCCCCCATGTTGACCTTTTGGATACCTAATTTTCAGATTATGGACTAGTTATGGAGAGATAGGATTACTTGATTTAGTGATTATGGCCCCAGTTCAGCAAAGCACATGAGTGGTCCCCATTTCTATTCAGCAAAGTGCTTACGTGTGATTAACTTTATGCACATGAGTAGTCTCTGACTTACAATCGGACTACTTGTGCTAAATTAAGCAAGTGCTGAAGTGTTTTGCTGAACTGGGGCCTGTGTGTGTCTGCCTGTGAACAAGGGTCTATTCTCATGTTGATTCTCCTCCTAAATTTCAGACTAAAAGCTCCTAGAATACTAATTTCTTTCTCTCTCTCTTTTTGTCCAGTGCTGAGAACATTGTCTGCTCTAAATAATAACAATGTCCTTTTGCTTTTATGCTTAAATTCCATTTTCATTTCTACTTCAGATGGACCTGAACTGCAAAGTTTAGACCAAGAACTCAACCTCTCCAAAGTTCACCAGGAGTAGGATGCAAGTTTTTGGGTCAGCCCATTACAGACACACAAGACAGTTGCCAAGTTCAGAGTCAAAACCACCACAAAAGTTCAGTAGGTTTTAGATCCAGGCATTTGGTTTGGGCCCATAATTCCTACACTTAAAAAACAAAGAAACAAAACAAAACCCCGCCCTTACTTTAGATAAATGTACTTTCAATCCATCATCATCTTTAGTGGAACCAAATTTTTTCTTCAAATCAATCATATTGTCAACCCCTTCTTTTCTCACTTCACTGATGATCTCAAACACTTGTCGGCTCATATTAAGGCGATAGTCATCTAGCTTCCCCTGCAATTAGAAACATTATGGAGGAGGGAAGACACATGTTCTCTGTAATGGCTGGTCCAAGTTGTTCTGAGCCAGGGTGGGGCGAGGCACTGAAACTGAGAGCAGGGCACCTGTCCTGTCCAGGACTCCCCCACCCTGTTGGAAGCCAGGCCCTGTGAAGGAAGAAGCCATCTGATTCAATTGCAGAGGGAACAAAGCTGAAGTGGGGGGAGGGAAAGGGATAGTTTGGGAGAAGAAATCTGGTAAGCCTGGGACTAGTTTGAGACTGGCAAGGAGACTGGGACTGGGAACTGAAGAGGGGGCAAGGCTAAGACTGGGAGCCAGAGGTGGTAGTGGGAGAGGAGGCTGGGACAGGTTGTGTGGGGACACTGGGAGCTGGGTATGGAAGGAGAGGCTGGGACCAGTTGGGCAAGGAGTCTAGGGCTGGGAACCACGGGGTGGTGAGGGAAACAGGAAAGGTGAAAGATTGGGAGCTAGTGGGATTGGCCGGTGGGGGAATGACACTGAGATCGGACAAAGACCTGGGGCAAGGAGAGAGAGAGAGACAGACGGACTGGCTAGACAAAAAGACTGGGTTAAGGAGTCAGAGATGGAGTGGGGGGTAAGACTGATATTGGATGAAGTGTCTGGGGAGGCAGACAAAGACTAGCAGCCAGTGTATGGGGCACAGAGACAGGGAGGAGCCTGAGGAGTAGAGACTGGGACTGACTGGGTGAGAAGAATGGGACTGCAATGAGGCGCTGGGGTGGGGTAGAGACAGCACAGAGACAGACTGTAGGAAATGGGTTAAGAGGGGGCCACAGTTTGGGGGAGGAGGCAGAAGAGTCTGTGCCCCGTAGAGCACACTGCTTTCCAGAGCCTGGAATGGAACCCCAGATTCCTGAGTTTTTCACCATTCCCCTGCTGTCAGCAAATAACCGTGAAACCCACTGGCAAAGTGTGTGTCTCATCCCCCACTAGTGCTGGTTCACACAGAGGATTGACAACCTACTACTGCCACCTCTTACTCCATTAGCTCAAGTGCAAGGGGCTGAACCTAAATGTTCCAATCCCGCTGATGAACCATATGGATTTCAATATGATGCTACATGGTGGAATTCCCGCCCACCCAAGTTTGTGTGATTTCTTAAGTGCGTGCTCTCATGCTCTGCCTCTCCCCCTCCCCCATCCTCCCACCATGTGTTAAAAGAACATTATTAAGGTTGCAATGTCAAGCACTCAGAAGTTAGGAAATGCCAGAATCAAGCTTGCCCATGCAACCTTAATTCAAACCCTTGAGCATATGAATTATGATACAGTCCTTAATTATATGATCACATACTATTTTTTTCCACAGGACTGGGGCTTTATGAGTTAATCAACAAGATTGATCTGCTCTGGAGAAAAATCAGGGTGTTGTTGTAAAAGAGACTTATCAATCGGACCCTTGCCTCATTTATTGCAGAAGGTATGTAGTGAACGAGGCAGAGGATTGCAGGAAGAGTGTAACAGAGTCGCTTGCCCCTTTAAGGTCTAGAGGCCTGGGGCCAGCCAACCCTAGTTACTAAGGAGGCACACCTGAGCAGGGATCAGGTAATTCTCCTATAAGAGCAGCAGGAAGCTGCAGAGAGAGGGGGATGCTCAGGGAGAAACAAGCAGAGTCACTGGCTGCTGGGAGCAAGTAGACTTCAGCAGGATACCTTGAGTTTTCAAGGACAAGGCTCCAGGCAGGGAAGACCTGGGATCAGAGACTTGACGGGGATTTGCAAACTTCTATTCTGAATATTTTCATACATTAATAAATCCAACCTTACAGAGGGATATTGCTGAACTTAAGAGTTTGTATGCGGCACACTTAAAAGGCCCCGAAGAGGGGAAAAGAGGCCTGAGAGCAACCTCAGGCCATGAGGGGGTGCTTAAGAGGTGGCTACCAGCCAGATTATAAAAAGAGGAAGACTGGCCTCATGGTTAAGACAGTTGAATAGGAAACTGTAATTCTAGCATTTCTTATCTTTTGAATGGTTGACTTTGCAAACCTAATCAATGAAAGGTTTTTTGAATTGATAGATAGATTAGATAGATAGAGCGCCAACTTCCACACAACAGTCTACTTAAAGTAAACATGTAAAATCTTTAGTTGTACTTAAAAAGACATATTTTACCTAATCTTAGCACAGTAAGCTAACACCTCATTAAGGGATATATTTTAAATATAGAAAATTCCTCAGAAAGGGAAGATACTGCCCCATGGTAACTGTTAACATGTATAAGTTCACCCATGGCACCATATTTTTAGAGTGTTTCACCTAGAGGATCTCAAAGTGATACACTGTGCATAGGTATTTCTCATCCCCTACTGAAATGCAACCATGTCTGGAGTGAAATACAATTATAGAATCATAGAACTGGAAGGGACCTCGAGAGGTCATCTAGTCCAGTCCCCTGCACTCAAGTCAGGACTAAGTATTATCTAGACCATCCCTGACAGGTTTTAGTCCAACCTGCTCTTAAAAATCCCCAATGATGGAGATTCCACAACCTCCCTAGGCAACTTATTCCAGTGCTTAACCACTCTGACAGTTAGGAAGTTTTTCTAATGTCCCACCTAAACCACCCTTTCGGCAATTTAAGCCCATTGCTTCTTGTCCTATCCTCAGAGGTTAAGAACAACAATTTTTCTCCCTCCTCCTTGTAACACCTTTTTATGTACTTGAAAACTGTTATCACGTCCTCCCTCAGTCTTCTCTTCTCCAGACTAAACAAACCCAATTTTTTTCAATCTTCCCTCAAAGGTCATGTTTTCTAGACCTTTAATCATTTTTGTTGCTCTTCTCTAGACTTTCTCCAATTTTTCCACATCTTTCCTGAAATGTGGTGCCCAGAACTGGACACAGTACTCCAGTTGAGGCCTAATCAGTCTGGAGTAGAGCAGAAGAATTACTTCTCGTGTCTTGCTTACAATACTGCTGCTAATACATCCCAGAATGATGTTTGCTTTTTTTAACATCATTACACTGTTGACTCATATTTAGCTTGTGATCCACTATGACCCCCAGATCCCTTTCCGCAGTACTCCTTCCTAAGCAGTCATTTCCCATTTTGTGTGTGTGCAACTGATTGTTCCTTCTTAAGTGGAGTACTTTGCATTTGTCCTTATTGAATTTCATCCTATTTACTTCAGACAATAGCTATTCTGTATCAGACTTGCTGCACAGAAGTTTTTGGAAGGGAGAATAAACTATTTCTACTAAAATTACAATTTTAAGTAAGACCATGTAATTATCTAAACTGGATATTGTCCAGGACTCTGAGCTTTTGAAAAAACATCTTGTGTTCCTCAGTAATCTTGTGTTCCTCAGAATATAGGGCTTGTCTACATGTAAAGTTGCTAAAGCTAAATTGAAATCAATGACTCAAACTGAAATAAGAGGGTCCAACATAGGGGTTTGGAGCAGATAAATTAAACCATTGCAAGTTTGTGTGCAGACAAGACCTTAGTTCCATAAGCTCACTTGTAGATCGGAGAGCTCTGAGGGAAATTTCTCCACTTCCCCCACAATTCACTCAGAATTTGGATGGGGAACAGGCTTATTGCTAGGAACCAAGCAATGCATCTCAATACTGAATCACATTTCAGTGAAAACAAGGTAGCAGGTCTGATAATGACCTAATATTTCATTATAATTGAACATATATTTATAAAAATACTTTTCATCCCTAAAGATCTCCAAATTATGAATTTAAGATAAATACAGGGATTATTTCATCCACCATGAAACTGTCCTCTATCCTCAGGGTGAAAAACAGCAACGTATGTGACAAATCCATGTGTTGTAGAGAACAGACAATTACTATATAAACCGCAAACATCTCTAAGAAGCTAAGACTAAAAGCCTTGTCCTTCAGCTCCAAAAACACAGGCGTCTACCAGTTGGCTGTCAGGGCGGCCCTTACATTCTCTGCGGGCCCTCTGTGAGAAAGCAGCGTCACATACAAATACGAAGCACATTACAACTATACAACATGAGAAATGAATACCTTTTCCAACTGAAACTGCAACAAGAACTTTTAGGTATGAAAAATGTAATTACCAACTTGGAAACTGGCCAGGACATTGGGGCCAACACCCCTACTCTTAGAGTGAATACATCAGTTCTTTAATGACTTAAAGTGGCAACGGAGTACTTCCTAATACCACATAGGGACACTGATTTAGTAGGAAGAGTTCTGCCTTTTGAGTCCCCAACACTACTTTCCTATAGTTGCTTAGAAGCCTCTAATCCGCCTGACCTTACTAATTCCACCTGACCTTACTACAGTTGTGAGATCTGAACAAAATTACATTACAAGGTGGTCAGTGTCATACATAACACATGCTCACATTGCTAACATAATCTGAACGTAAACTCATAAGTTTAAGAGAGGGTGTTTCTCTTGTGCATCACTGACTGACCCAGGTTTTAATAAGTAAAGATGTAAATAAAGATTAGTTGTGCCCGGACAGAAACACAATATATGTACCTCTACATCAGATTCTTGGTAATTTTCCATTAGTCTCTGAACAAATGTTTCGACTATTTGTGGTCTTACAGCTGAGAAGTTTTCTTGCATGATTCGATGCTTCCAGAGCTCTGGAGGAGCCAGGGGAAAAAACATAACAAACAATACATCAACAGATGTCTGTCACAAAATATTGATCCCTCTTTAATCCCTGTAAAATGATACCATGTGCAATTTGTAGTTTAGGATTTCTCAATCTTTCTAAAACTGTATGCAACAGAAGGTAACTATCACCACAAACAAATTATGTGATTCTATGCAGCAGGGGTGTTAGATACATGGTGTCAAAAGGGTAAAAGACATTTTTGTTATGGGCCAGGTGCCCCAGTTAGGGCCCTATCCACAATTGATCACTGCCTGATAATAAGAGCTTTGCATGAAATTTGAGAGTAGAATATGGCTTTTTATGTAGTAACTAAATGTTTGGGTAGAAAAATTACTGTTGCATTCAACACCAGTCAGTGGGAAAAAATGGTACCAGCCACTTCTAGAACTACCATTATTTCCACCACTTGCTTGTTTGACCATTTGTGCATGCACTTATCGGATCTGCACAGTTATCCTAAATGTATAAATTAAAGTGCATAGTTATGCACTTAAATGACTTGGAAGTCTGGCTTTTAAAGTGTCATCATTTGGCTTAAGCATTGACACCCCAATGAGATAAGTGGGAGCAGTTTCAAGCTGTCTGCAGACGCAGGGAAAAAAGTTTGAGTTAGTTTGGCACACACAGCTCATATCTGGAAAGTTTTCTTTGCAATAATTATGGTTAAAACTTGCTTTATAAAAACAAAGTCAAAGTTTAGATTTTGCAGCATTTGAATCTGGGTGAGCAGGCTGGATAAGTATGTCAAATGGGTCAGGTGCTTGAAACCCCAGTGTACAAGTCTTCATCACATGGTAGCATAGTCAAGGAATGGGCATTTTCACATAAAGGGCTGGGCTTTATCAAAACCTGAAGGGAATTTTATGTGATGTTGGTAAATTTTCACCAATGATTTCACTGTATGTGGGACAAATTGTTCCTCGCTCTTGAATGGGTGCAAAGGGAAGCAGGAAGGATAGACAGGAAACTTACCACCCTGCACAAAGGCTGGGTAGAATCCTTGCACTCCACCCTCCATGTGCCGCTAGGGACGCATGTTCCCCAGTGGGAAAATGGATGGAAGCAGCTACAAAACTAGTAAGCCTACTGTAACCCAAGTCCTTCCAGAGCTCCCACACATATGTAAAGGCTGTAGGATTGGGCTTCCCATGTTTGGTATGCTTCCTAAGCAGAAAAGAGGTGGAGGGCTAAATGTAAAAATGCATTTTGTATTTTAACACCTTACCTGTAGGGAGGCCATTTCCTGCTCTTGCTCTTTCAGATGTAACTAGTGTCATCTCCTGGTTAATTTTCTTTTTCACATCATGGATCATGTGTATTTCTAGACTTTCCAGCAGTTTTTGAAGCTATAGTAAGTGTACAGTAAATTGTTCACATTAAATCTCTATGCTTATTATACCTCATCTGCTGTGCTTTGCCAATTTTCAGTTTTTTAAAAAGTAAGTTTAAAAAACGCACAGTATGTAGGAGTAAAAATAAGATAATTTAGGGAAGTTATATTGTGTCCAATTCAGTAGCACGAATACTTTGGGGGTCAGATTCACTAGTCCATTACAGCTGCTTTATGCTGCTCCAGGGCATTGAGTTGTGGGCCTTACAGCACAGGTCCCAGTTTGCTTGACCTACCCCTACAGGTGACCCTGTTTAGGCCCCCCACAGGTTTTAATGGTTCCATGTCGGTCAACAGCACTCCCCCTGCACAGTAATAGTCCTCCTTTACCTGCCGTGTTTTGACTTCAATTTCTGATGCTCCTTTTGGGGGAAGTATAGACTGAGAGCTTGTTACAAGTCCTTCAAACTCATCTTCTGTGCCCATGTGCCTGGCGATGGCTCTCATAGCAGGGTATAGGATGTCAGTGCTAAAGAAACCCAGACAAAGATGTTACACATATTCCTTTCTCAACAGTATTTTCAGTCTCTTCTGTATTTCTCTTTCCGGCCACACGTACCTTTACCCTCCCCTCCCCCGACACATAAGCACTGGGACTCATTTCACTATCCCCTGTTACCCTGTCGGGAAGCCCTGCTAGCAAAGCAAGATTTTCTGTGTGGACCGATCATGTGATATTGAATCTCACATTACATCACTTCTTTTTTCAATAGATATAGAAAAATAAAAGTTCAGTGGATGAAGCAGGAAGAGCTAAAACAAAGCAGAGAATTCTGGTTGCCAGTACGAACTTCTCCCCTGAAAACCAAAGAGATGTAGACACTCCCCCATGCTGCCCTCTCGTATCTGATCGCATTTGCTAGGTTGAAACAGTGCCAGCCTGACTACTGAAAGGGCCCTTTATGTCTCCAAACAACAAGAGGAGCAATTGACAAAAGGGCACAGGTACCAGGTTACATTTGACACCATTGATCGCATTAGACACAGACATCCGCAGAACTTGAAAACCTCATTTGCTCAAGATGAGTGGAAGCTTTCCCAGTGAAGGGGGTGACTGCAGTGTTTTACCAGCACTTTCCACAGAGCTGTTGTTTCCATTCACAAAATATATACACCAAGATTCAACAAAGTGATCCCTAAACCCAGCACAGATGAATCATCCTGGCATAGAGAAATTCTCTGCTGGCACAGAGTTGGCATAGGAACTGCTACACTAATACCTCCTCCGGAGGTGCCAGCGTAGGGAATTTGGAAAAGGCGGGGGGGGGGGGAAGGAGCTTGGCTGTACCCCAGTGCTCATGACTACCATATCAGTCCCTTGGCAGCTGGCACAAATTAGAATAGCCCTGAAACAGTGGGGATAAAGCAAGAGTGATTGCTGGAGCCACAGCTGCCCAGTGCCCAGATGTGTGGGAGAAGTGCCCTGCCGCACATTTAGCGTGAAGAACCCATGCCCCCAGCTCCCCAGTACTCCTCCTGAAGAGTTTCAGAATGCTGTAGGAGCAGGTTGAGCTCAAGCGCTCTACATGTCCCTGGAACTAGGGGCTCTCCCCCCCTGCAGACTGTATAAGCTCTACAGAGGGCAGAGATCCCAGTCCCAGGATGCATACAGATCTTACCAAATCCCCAGGCTATACCAGTAAGTGGGTCTGGGTATTGCAGGTGGGTCTTGCTCTTGCAGCTCCCCAGCCCTGGCAATTTCTTCTCTTCTTCCGAATGAGCAATGAAGAACAGCTCCCAACTCCCCCTGCTCTCTAGGTGACATTGTATCACCAGATTTTCGCCCCCTTCCCTGGCCTGCACTGTGCTAAGGAGCCAGATTAGGCCACCTGAAAACTCCCCTGACATGGGGGAGTCCTACACTGGCATTAATCTGGCATGTCTTGCTCATATGCCACCCTTCCGCTCTGGACTCACCATAGGGATGTGCCAGGGCAGGAGGGAGTGTGGCAGGAGCATTACTGCATGTTAGCTATGCTCAGATGGCTCCTTGAGAGCCTTTACCAGCTAGCACAGGTGAGTATAGCTCTAAAGTGCGTCAGCATTGTGAGGTCAGCATTGGACTAGTTTGAAAACTAGAAAGCTGCAATCACCTCCCTGACAGCCCCACCCTGCTGCACAAAACAGAGACTGGGCACAGTAGAAAACTGGTATGACATTCTACTCAGATATGCTTCTGTTGTTCAGGGATTTGTAGATGTAAATTGGGAGGTCTACTTTTATGTAAGTATAACTAACAATGATATCTTAGTATTTCTTCTCTCAAGTCACTAGAGATAACAGTGAGTCGGTATTTCTATTGTAACTCACTGGTTTAACAACAGGTTATACCAGCGAGTAGGGGCATAAAATTGACATCTGAGTGATCTCAATATAATCTGAAGATAGCAACACAACACGTCACACAGGAACAGTACAGTGAAGGTATTCAGTGGCACTTTGATATCTGATAACTAGAATAGAGAGAGACCTGATACCAGTTTGTTAAAGGAACAAACTAACACATTAAGACAAAAATGTTTGCACGGACACAAACAGACACTTCTTCTCTGCTTCATTTTGTGAGAATCCTGTTTTCCAGTAGCCCCAAAACACCCCGCTACCTAGACTGTATTACTACTGTGTTATCCAGCAAACTTTTATTTTCATTATGTTGCTCATTTTGGTAATAGATTTTATTTCAGGGGACCAGGAGGGCAATGCCTTATCACATTTTAAAAAAGATATAGTTTTAGGCTTTTAGTAAGTGTCCCTCTAAAGAAAACTTGCCAGATTTTCTAATGCACATTATTCAGGCCAAGCCAAGTGGGAGGATTAGGAAGAATCCTGGTACACTTCCACTTCATTAAAAATCAGCTTCAGGGATGTCAATTTTTAAAAGTACTGTGTGTAACATTGATCTGAATGTCCTAAAGAGACAGGTATAAATAATAGTGTCACTGAAAGGCCACAGGAATACATTTGGAACAACCTGACTAATGAACAATTCAGGTACAAAGAAATCAGATCAGGTCAAAAACCCTATTCTAAAGAGAAAGCAAAGATATTAGAAAAGGAGTACTTGTGGCACCTTAGAGACTAACCAATTTATTTGAGCATGAGCTTTTGTGAGCTACAGCTCACTTCATCTGATGAAGTGAGCTGTAGCTCACGAAAGCTCATGCTCAAATAAATTGGTTAGTCTCTAAGGTGCCACAAGTACTCCTTTTCTTTTTGCGAATACAGACTAACACGGCTGTTCCTCTGAAAGATATTAGAATAATTATCGATTTTGTACCAAACTAAAGAAAGGTAGAACTAAAACAGAGCACATTGAAATAGGCTAAGAATAAGAGAACAGTGTGAAGAATGGTACAGGCATTTATTTTTTTTAAACTTTCACAACCACTCCAGTCTAGAATACTTTTACATCAGAATGAAACTCACCCATATAGCTCAGCAAACTGTTTGTAAAGAGGAACTGTATTGATATCCTTGACTTTCAGTTTAAGTCTACCCCATTCTGCCTTTAATACTTCCAATTGCTTCCATATTATCAGAAAAGATCTCAGCAAAGCACGTGAAGTAACTGGATCGTGGAGCCTTGGCAGAGCTTTGCAAATCTTTCTGCTGCTCTCTGACCCACTGGCATGTGATTCATCAATTTCTGCCAAATTCTAATGAAATTATTATGGGAGACATATTTTGTTACAATCTCATATCATATACTTCATTGTTTAATAAAATGAGATAAGCCACTGTACGCCTATTAGAGATTGAATAAAAAAAAACTTGCAACCCACTATAATTGTTTCCATACACTAGTGTCCTACAAAATCTAGCGGAGGTAAAATCCTGGCTATTTTTTCATTGCAATGACTATAGAAAAGACAAGGCCAAAACACACACACACACACAAATCTTTCATCTTATTGCCACTTTCCTTGAGTCAGTTGCCCCAATAAAACTCCCTG